ATATTTTTTTTCCTCGCGCGTGTCCGTGCGCGCCTCCGGGCCTCGTCCCGGTTGGTCTTTCGAGGCTCGTTGATCTCTTGTGATCTCCTGGAAATTAATCCACGATCACAACACGAAAAATATAATTTACAAAATTACATAATCCGATCCTAGATCCAACGAATGGATGTACATGTTTTCTAAACAAAATAATTAAATCTATCCGGTCAACCCCCGGGCGAATAATTATTACAAACATTCATCCATCAAATTTCTCGACATCTGAGGCTTTAAAAAAAATTTAAAACCATACATCACATTCATCAACATTTATTAAACACATAATCGGCCATAATAGTGGATTAAACTAATTCCTGCTAAATCGAGTTATGCGAATATAATCCAATATATGGCTGCGTTTGAACACATCTTGACAAATAAAGCCGTAAAAATTCAAACTTGTACACAACGAATTAAACCAAGCTCTGATACCACTTGTTGGGATCAATGAAGATCTCGTTATGCACAAATCACGAATTCAATAGCAAAACGTAAACCTATGCGCAGTGGATCTAAAGGTTTGCGTAGAGAACTTACGGCTTAAAATTTATGGCGATCTGGCTGATCTTCTAGATGGTCGTACACAGCACACCAATGAATTGTTGACTGAAAATCGTGTCCTAGGATTGCACGAACAAGATCGGATCGAAAACCGGATCAAACGAGTGCAATACGGATGAAGACAAGTTGTAGTCCTGGGACCTTGCGGCTGTGCGTGCGGGCGCGTGGGTGGTCGGACGGCTCGGCGACGTTGGAAAGCTCTCGTCGAGACGGTCGTCTGGGTATGCTGCACGTCTTGATCGGACCTCCGGTTAGTTCTGTACGACCAAATATATTTCATCTCACTATACCCAAAGTTCTTCTACTGTATATCTCAAACGCCTCTTAATCTTGTACCAGTGGAACAACAAGAAGAAGATAAAGCTTGAATGGGAATTGAGAGAGAGAAGAGGGGCGTGAGGCGTGATTTCCAAGATGTGGAATTCTCTTCTCTTCCCATGAGCTTAATGATGTATATATAGAGCTACAATAGGGATCTTTTGGAGATTAGGATTAAGGCACCTTAATTAATTAAAATACTTGTGGACCAAGCCACTTGTTTTAATTAATTAAATAATATTAAATAGACCACCAACATAATATTATTGCACTCATTTTTCCTAGCCCAATTTACAATTGAGACTCCAATAATAATTATTCGATTTATCTCCTCATGTTTAAGATATAATGTCCATTAATTAATTTGATTACTGACAATCAAGAATTAATTAATTTATTATTATTTCACCGAAGCTAGCGCTCGTTCATCACATTATTACTAT